CACGCTCAGCACCCCCAGAGTCAGCACCCCCAAGCTCAGCACCCTCAGCAGCACCAGAGTCACCAGCAACCTCGACAGGCTCGACTGCATCTACCTGGGACACACCTGAAGGGGAAAGACCCTGAGGGGGGAGGGGGTCTACCGGGGGGGGACCTGGCACAAGGAAGAGCGGTGGCAGAGGGAGGGACGGACTGCGGTAGGGGAAGAGGCGGTAGTAGGGGACCGACTCGTCAAACTTGACGTCCTGGGAGGACAGAACACGGCGAGAGGTGGGGTGGTAGAACTGCCACCCAGGCGCGTCAGGGGGGAAGCCAAGGAAGACGCAAGGAGTAGCACGAGGGGACAGCTTGTCCGCAGACAAGTCGCGGACAAACGCCCGAGATCCCCAGACACGGAACGCAGACGCATCGCCAACCTTCCCGGTCCACAGCAAAGCTGGGGAGGTCTCCGGCATGGAGACCCTGGGCTGAAGGTTGATCTGATGCGCCGCGTACCGAACCGCAAACGGCCACAGAAAATGGGGGGCAGCCGCATGCATCATGGACGTACGAGCGACGTCCATGACCATGCCAATGCGGCGCTCAGCAATCCCATTTTGCTGTGGAGAGTCCGGAAGCGTGAAGGTCTGGCGGATGCCTCGCGCATGATAGTAGGCTCGCAGAAGGCCAGAGGAGAACTCTCCGCCTCTGTTAGAGTGCACACGCAGAACAGGAAAGTCCGAGCCGAAGCTCTGCCTAAGCTGGAGACGAGCTGCGCGGATCCAGTCGATCAACACCTCAGTGACATCACCCTTGCTGCGCAAGGGGAAGACTCTGGTGTAACGCGAGTAGTCGTCAACCACCAGCAGGAAGTAGCGCTCTTGACCCTGTCCACGGACGCGGGGCGGGCCCCACACGTCCATGTGAAGCGTCTGCAGCGGGGCCTCTGTCGGAGGAAACTGGGAGGAGTGAGTGGCAGCACGCTGCCACCCCTCGACGCAGGGGACGCAGGCAGGGGCAGGCCCCGGGGGAAGGGGACGGAGGGACCGGGGAAGACCAGAGACAAGGACACGGGAGGCCATGCCTTGGAGACGAAGCAGGGAGGGGTGACCAAGGCAGTGGTGCCAGAGGAGAGTCTCGTGAGACAGGAGGCGACACGAGTAGGGGGCAGACTCAGGACCAGACCTGGACGCTGAAGCAAACACCTGACCTGAGGCAGCTACCTGACTAGACACAGGGACAGGAGGAGACTCAGTGGTCAGTGTGTACAGGCTCGACCCCGGCCGACGTGTAAACGTGGCCAGGTGTTGGCCTGTCCCAGCGTCCGTGCAGTGGGTCACCCGCTGACTCGCAGGAGTGAACCGGTGAACCCCCGCATCCTGTAGGTCAGCACCACTCACCAAGTTCGCAGAGAACGAGGGGAGGTAAAGACCAGACAGGGTGCCAGAGGGGGGCCGCCGGACACGGGAGGACAGTGGAGAAGTGAGCAAGGACAGGACCCCCAGAGGGGTCTGCCAGAGAGACTGCAACTGGCCGACCAAGCGGCGTGAGTGTGGTGCGGTCTCGAAAGAAGGAGCGAGAAGCCCTCGAGTCAAGGGTGAAGGTGTGGGAGGCCAAAGGCGACGCAATATCTGAGAGAGCAGACTCACCAGCACCTGAGGGAGCAGACGCACTGGCACCTAGAGCAACAGCCTCGCTAGCACCTAGAGAAGCAGCCTCACCAGTACCTAGAGCAGCAGTCTCAATGCCCGGGTCGGGCGGAAAACATCGGTAAGAGTCACCCTCATCACTAATAGTCACAGTATATATGGCAGCAAGAATAGCATCAAAGTGAAGGTCAAAGATAGCTACTCCCGCCCTAGACAGCTCGCCCCAGCGAGGTATCTCAGTGGCCTCAGGGAACTAGTGACGCCAAGCGTCCGTCAGGCGGCCAAAGCAGCGCTGGGTGGAGTGCGCACCCCCGCACTGCTCATCCGCGCGGTCGCCGGTGCGTAGGACGTAGGTGCACGGACCAGTACCCCCACCCCGCTGGCGTGCAGCGTACCATTCACGGAGCTGCTGAGGGGGGGGGATGTCACGAGTGCGGGCGCTGACCACCACCGGAGCCGACCCTCTGCGCAGCGCCACCCCGACCAGCTCCGCCTCCTCCGCCGCCGCCTCCTCCTCCGCCGCCACCTCCGCCACCTCCGCCCCCACCGCCACCGCCGCCTCCACCTCCACCTCCACTGCCGCCACCGACACCTCCACCCCCACCACCACTCCCACCACCACCCCCACCCCCTCCACTGCCGCCACCGCCACCTCCACCGCCCCTGCCAGCCTCTCCAGCGCCCTTGCCCCCCTTGCCCTTGCTGGTGCGGCGTCTCCCGCTCGGGGCAGACGCAGCACCGACCGACTCAAGACCAACGAGGTCGGCCGCAGCAGCAGAGGCAACAGAGGGAAAAAGGTGGGAGGGGGAACACCCCTCAAAGACGGGGGTGCGAAGGTCACCACGAGAGGCTCCTACAGCGACTATGCTCTTCTCTACCGCTGAGAGGGCCTTCTCGAGGAGGTCAACGGTGAGAGTGGTGAGGCAAACTGATAGGAAGTGGTCCCTGACTACGCGGAGAGAGTCAGGGAGCCGGGTGACTATGTAGTAGAGGGTGATGTACATTGGGGGGGGGGGGGGGTCTTGGCACAGAAGTCAGCAGGAAGCGCAGCGCGGTAGCGGGTGTCACTAGTGCGGAGGTGCGTTATGAGGTCAGTGACTGTGGGAAAAGCAGCAAGGTCAGGGAAGAGGTACGGTAGCATGAGGCGGCTCAGTGCAGCAGTGGCAGTGGAGGAGTAGCGTGCAACTACAGCGTCGTACAAGGTCTCAGCACTCTTAAACTGGCTAAAGTGCGCACGCTCAGAGGTAGGCAGGTGGCGCCGAACAGCAAGACGTGCAGCAGCATCGTGTGTGGCCCACTGTGAGCGAACAGTGGCGTCAGCATGAGCAGCAGGGGCAGGAGAGGCACCAGAAGTGAGGTCAAAGAGGGAGAGACCATCTGCCCTATCGCACTGTAGGAAAAGCTGCAGGTCATCTATCCAGACGTCAAGGTCAATGGCCCGACCCTCCGCGTCAAAAGCGAGGACACTAGGGGTAGCCATGACAGCAGTAGACTAGCAGCGCGAACAGTAGGGTAAGGGCAGTGCAGTGATAGAGGCGCTGCTCTTACCGGACATGGCGGCTCGGGCGGCTCGGCGGCTCGGCAGGAAGTGCAGCTCGGCGACTCGGCGGCTCTGGCGGCTCAGGCGACTCGGCGCTACGGCGGCTCGGCAGCAACTACGGCTCGGCGACTCGGCGGCTCTAGCGGCTTGGCGGCTCGGCGGTACGGCGGCTCGGCGGCTCGGCGGTACGGCGGCTCGGCAGCTTGGCGACCCGGCGGCTTGGGCGGCTCAGGTGGCGCGGCGGCTCGGGCGGCTCAGGTGGCTCGGGCGGCTCGGCAGTAGCTCGGCGGGGCCGGCGGCTCGGTGGTGACGGCGGGGCCGTGTGGGGAGGGCGGCAGGGCCGGTAGAGGCGGCGCCGGGGCCGGGAAGGGTAGCGCCGGGGCTGCAGGGTAGGCGACGAGGCCGCAGGGTAGGCGACGGGGCCAGCAGAGGCGGCGCTGGGGCCGCAGGGTAGGCGACGGGGCCAGCAGAGGCGGCGTTGGGGCCGCAGGGTAGGCGACAGGGCCAGCAGAGGTGACGCCGGGGCCGCAGGGTAAGCGACGGGGCCAGCAGAGGCGGCGCCGGGGCCCCGTAGGGTAGCACCGGGGCCGCAGGGTAGGCGACGGGGCCAGCAGGGTAGGCGACGAGGCCATCAGAGGCGGCGCCGGGGCCAGGAAGGGCGGCGTCGGGGCCGGGAAGGGCGGCGCCGGGGCCGCAGAGGTAGGCGACGGGGCCGCTAGGGCGGCTAGGAGGGGGGGGGGGGGTCGCGAGGGCGGCTTGAAGAGGCCGCGAGGGCGGCACGAAAGGGCCGTGATGGCGGCACGAACGGGCCGTGAGGGCGGCGCGACGCGACAGAGCCGCGAGGGCGGCGGATCGGGGCCGCGAGGGCGGCGCAACGCGGCCGCTAGGGCAGCGCGACGTGACAGGGCCGCGAGGGCGACGCGACGGGGCCGCAAGCGCTACGCGACGGGGCCGCTTAGGCGACGCGACAGGGTCGAAAGAGGGGAGCACGACTCGGGCAGAGTAGAGCGCGCTCCGGGCAGGAAAAAAAAGGTGGTGGGCCCTAGGAACAGTTCCCACAGGGGAACCTGCTCGATACCATGAGAAAATGAACGAGAATGAATTGACTAAGGGAAAGTTGGGTACAAGTACAAACCCTAGAAAGTGGTACCCCATATGTGCTACCCCACTATAGCCTACAACAGCTATGTCATATAAATCTTACACTCCAAATGATATCGGCTGTGCGGGTCCTCGAAAGCCGCAATCCTCCTTCGCCTCGTTCTTGTTTGTGCGGTCTCTGCACTCTTAGTCTTTGCGTATATCTGCAACTGGAGCATCTTCGGTGTGAACCTCTCGCCGCAGGCAGAGGAGTTCTGGGATTCATGGGATTCGTGCGTGACGCAGCGCGCGGGGCATCTGTTCAAGCTAAACATGCTCTCGGACCTGCATTCGCAGAAGTGCACGAATTTAGTTGAAGCGGCCGTCGCGAAAGGGGAAGCATTGATGGCACGCGGGCGGGGCCTGCGCAAACGCGGGCAGACGGAGGTTGCGGACGGGTGCGTGGTGAAGTACGACGCGAGGACGGATCCGTGGGACAGCCATCTGCTGCCTAGCGAGAAGTTCTCCCAGTCCAGTTGCAAGCTAGAGTGGGTTATTTACTCCTCGGAATGCGGGGTGAACATGGTGCGCCTCGCGGATTTCGCGCACATGGCGGGCATCAGCTTCTCGATCATCGGAAGCCGCTAGCCCTGGACGGGCCAAGGCGGCCGTTTGCGCGCCATCCGCGACTTCCTCGCGGCGCTGCCGCGCAATCGCGTCGTGATCACCACCGACGCCGACGACGTCTTTCTCATGCCGCACCCTAAATGCCGCCCGCAAAGCTTCCTCGACGCATTCTTTGCTCTCAACGCGCCCGTTGTTTTCGGCGCGGAGATTTTCTACTGCCCGGATTGGAAGAAGCTAGAGCCGTTCTTTCCTCATAAAAGAATTTCGTCCGTGAATCGGTTTCTTAACGCGGGGGCGTATGGTGGGTACGCGTGGGCGCTAGCGGAGATCATCGATCTGATCTACGTGCGCGACTGCATGCAGGACCAGCGCGGGTTCATCCTCGCTTTCCTCGCGCAGCAGTACCTCTTCCACGACATGCCGCGCGCGCCCAACCTTGACCCCGCCGCCGTGCGCGCCCAACCTTGACCCCGCCGCCGTGCGCGCCGCGTGGGAATCGCCGAGCGACGTGGCGGAGGCAGTTCTCGCGCAGGCACAGGCGGCGGGGTCGGCGAGCAGAGCGGCGTGGCAGAACAACCGCACGGTGGAGTTCGACTCCGCCATGTCGCCGTTCCACCGCCTGCCCACCAAGCCCAGGCAGCGCGTCATGGACGAAGTGAGGCGCGCCGGGCACAGGGAAACGGCAGCGGTGATGGCGGCGCCATTCATTAAACTGGACCACTACAGCGCGCTGTTCATGCACCTTGGGGGGCTCAAGTGGGGCAACTTCACGATCCTGGGTACAGGGGAGCAGGCGCTGGTGCGATAGATGAATTCGGGGGGGGAGGCATGCATCTTGCACCAGCGGGGGAATAAGCTCACTAATATCTCCATGACGTATATAATGAAGGAGATCGGTTTGGAGGAGCTGAGAGAGGCGCGAGGGTATGTTCCCTAAATGATTGAGGTGCAAGCGAATGTCAACGTCATCGTTTTCTGTTGGCTGTGGTTTCTCCTGATGTTGCTTTTGCTTCTGCAGCTCAACAGCTGCCAATAATGACGGCTGCTATTTCTGCTGCTGCTGTTTCTGCAGCACTATGCTGCAACTTTGCGTAGCTATTACATAGGGCGGTGTTCGGCAAGTGTAGGAAAGCAGGAAGTGGGAAGCCGTGGAAGTGGGTGTGACTTCAATTCAAGTGGGCTGAAGAGAGGATGCAGAGGAGGGTGCTATAGCTGTGCACACTCTGCATGGCTAGCATGTGGCTGTTGTGCTGATAACTGTGGGACTGCATAATACACACAGAATGTCAGAGTTGTGGCGCTCCTCTATTTCGCACATATAGGACTTGGAGACTATCCATAGGACACTTTAGATATGTGTTTAACATCAGAAGTATCTATATATGTGTAGTGTAATAGAAACTTGTGGGAATAGTTTGGCATATTTTCGACCTAAAGTCTATAATGCGTCAGATACACATTCGCCAACATGGTTGGGTTGGGGCCTTCCAATTCGTCGCCGACTTTCACCCTCCAAAATTGATACCCACGTGTACATACAACTGTGCATGGAACCATAGACCAGTGTACACATGATGCCCAGCCCGTGCACGCGAGAATACATCGGATGGAAACCCTGCACCCGAGGTTTTTTCCCTAGCCAGTTGCACGCACGTTATAAGCACGTCGCGCAGAACAGACCGAAGTCATACTGAAGAGACTGAAGACAAAATGTCAACAGACAGTTTTTATAAAAAAAAATATAAGCACCTGACGAATGCTTTTTTGCTAGCTGCGAATCGACGAAACTTGTGCGAAGAGCTCATTACAGCTTATAAGCCCCCTTCACAAGGCAACCGGGAGTGGATCAAACGGGCATCATGTGTAGGTCACGGCATCTCAAAATCCTCATGTGTGGTGCTTGTTTGAGTCGAACACCCTGTTTTCATTTCCACAGGTCTGCCGCGCGTGGTGTGTGGACATTCAATAGCTGCAGTACTGTAACGACACTTGAGTAAAACTGCCTTGCAGTGGGCTGATAGGACTCGATTATGCACCGAAACCCCCATTCCCCGAATATAATCGTCGGATGCCTATACAGTTTGCATGCGAGCACCTTCCAGTCTCTTTCCGGGTAACTCCGCCTCGTAATTCTGGGCGAGGACCACCCGGAATCGCGATTCCCCAGCCCAATCAATGTGCTGGACGTGCTTTCCAAGACCTCATCCGGGTCAACGAGCATTGTCAGCCTGTCAGAAGGAGGTTCGCACGTGCTCACCTTGAGAGAGTGGGGTGGAAATGCCCAACCTCGATACAGCGAGGCCGAGGAGTGCAAAAATGGCGGATAACACCTAAGGGGGCTCCTACCCATTCCTTAAGGCGCTGTTCTGTAGGCGTTGAAATTTTGAAAAACTGGGTCCGCAGAATCTTCTTTGATAAGTGGTCTTCTGACTATCAAGGTTTTGTGATAAGAAAGGTCCTGCCGAGCCTGTTTGCGCCAAATTTAACGCATCAGCCTGCAAAACGCCACTTTTGGGGCGCACGAGGTTCGAAGTTGTTGCTTCGCCGGGCAAATGGTCACACAACTGGTGCAGTGCTAATTCTACCTCGGGAGCTAGCGTCAGCCTCCGCACAGTTATGCGAGGCAGCAACATCCGCGCAGCGCAACCAGCATGAATGCGCCTAGAAAATGCACGGAAGGCTACCACGGTCAAATTGGTGCGGAACCCTAAACGCCTGCAGAGCAACGCCTGTACCTTCAAGACCTGCCCCCTCACTAGAGCACGTAGCATCGAGCCTGCTTCCTGTGGCAAATTGGTCCTTTACCTTCGAGAGCAAGTTTCTCAAGCAGCAGTCGTGCGGTCCTCTCCCATGGCGCCTACTCCAAGTTTAATCTCCGATGTTTTCCGCCTGTGCTGCTCCTCCAAGATCGCGATCGTCCTCCGCCTCGTTCTCGGATGCACTACATTTGCACTCGTAATCTTTACGTCCATCTGCTACTGGACCATGGTTGCCACCAACCTCTCGCCGCAGGCGGAGGAGTTCCGCGACACGTGGGATTCGTGCGTGACGCAGCGCGCGGGACACCTGTTCAAGATGAACATGCTGTCGGACCTGCATTCGCAGAAGTGCACGAATCTGGTCGAAGCCGCCGTCGCCAAAGGGGAGGCTTTGATGGCGCGCGGGCGGGACCTACACGAACGCGGGGAGGCGGAGCAGCAGGTTGACGGGTGCGCGGTGAAGTACGACGCGAGGGCGGATCCGTGGGATAACCATCCGCTGCCTAGCGACAAGTTCTCCCAGTCGGGTTGCAAGCTAGAGTGGGTAATCTACTCCTCGGAATGCGGGGTGAACATGGTGCGCCTCGCGGATTTCGCGCACATGGCGGGCATTAGCTTCTCCGTGATCGGAAGCCGCCAGCCGTGGACGGGCCAAGGCGGCCGCCTGCGCGCCATCCGTGACTTCGTCGCGGGGCTGCCGCGCGATCGCGTCGTGATCACCACCGACGCCGACGACGTCTTTCTCATGCCGCACCCCAAATGCCGCCCGCAAAACTTCCTCGACGCATTCTTTGCGCTCAACGCGCCGGTGGTTATCGGCGCGGAGATCTACTGCTGGCCGGATGGGACGAAGCTAAAGCCTTACTTTCCTCTTGAAGCCAACCCGAACAGGCCAAGACACTCCGTGAATCGGTTTCCTAACGCGGGAGCGTATGGCGGGTACGCGTGGGCGCTGGCGGAGATCATCGATCTGATCTACGTGCGCGACTGCATGCAGGACCAGCGCGGGTTCATCCTCGCGTTCCTCGCGCAGCAGTACCTCTTCCGCGACATGCCGCGCGCGCCCAACCCCGACCCCGCCGCCGTGCGCGCCGCGTGGGAATCGCCGAGCGACGTGGAGGAGGCGGTTCGCGCGCAGGCGGCGGCGGCGGAGTCGGCGAGCAGAGCGGCGTGGCGGACCAACCGCACGATGCTGTACGACTCCGCCATGTCGCCGTTCCACCGCCTGCCCGCCAAGCCCAAGCAGCGCGTCATGGACGAGGCGAGGCGCGCCGGGCACAGCGGTGCGGCGGCGGTGATGGCGGCGCCGTTCATTAAACTGGATCACTACAGCTCGCTGTTCATGCACCTGGGGGGACTCAACTGGGACAACTTCACGATTCTCGGCACAGGGGAGCAGGCGCTGGTGCGACAGGTTAATTCGGGGGGGGAGGCGTGCATCTTGCACCAGCAGGGGAATAAGCTGAAAAATATCTCCATGCCTTATATAATGAAGGAGACCGGTTTGGAAGAGCTGAGAGAGGCGCGAGGGTATGCTCCCTAAAAGACTGTGACGCAGGCGAATGTCAAGGTCATTGTTCTCCCTTGGCTGCGGTTTCTCCTGCTGCTGCTGTTGCTTCTGCAGCTCAACCCCGCCCTGAACAGCCGCAGATCTTGGTGGCTGCTGTTTCTGCAGCAGGCAACATTATGTAGCTATCTCCCAGGTTGGGTTTCCCTAAGAAAATCCCAATCTGGCTCCTACGTACTTTTGGCAAGTGGAGATGGAAACGCAGGTGGAGCCCAAGGAAACAGGCAGTGGCAGGCCGTGGGAGTGGGTGTGATGTGACTTCCAGAGTGTTCTGAAGAGCGGTGTGGACCACAGCGGTCATGAGGGAGGAGTTGTAGGGTTACTGTAGGTCCAGCAATAACCACTGACTTGGCTTGTTGTGTTTGGCTTGTTGCATCTTGTTGTGTGGCAAGGTGCTTGGCGTTGAGGTCTGTTGCAAACGGGAGTTATAAATCCTTGGGAATTTTAAAAGCTGGTTACCTAATTGTAGCGAGAGCCACACGTACCTAATTGTTACCTAATTAAGATCCGCAGGCGATGTACCCCCAACGCCCCTCAGGACTGGCCCACCCCTCAGTGACACCCTGACTTCAAAACCTTAGAACCAGCAAAAGTATACATTGTAGCGAGAGCCACACGTGCCTTATCCATAAGTAAGCTCGTCAACCCGCATAAGCTGGTGGAACGAAAAGTTGTTTTTTGGGACGCAAGCGCCTAGAAGGGGGGAAAACAAGGGGCTAAAAGGGGGAAAATAAGGGTTAGCAGGGGGGAAACAAAAGGCAGGGACGCGAATGGAAGCGAAAGGTTGGAAAGAGGATGGAATTGAAGGTACCGGTAAAAAGATGTAAGGGAAGGCGGGCCCGCCACCCGCGGAGGACGCGAGTGACAGCGTGTGAGAGGGGAGAAGAGTGGTAGTGGGAGTGGTCCCCCGGTCACGACGAGCTACGGTATGGTGCGGCGCGGTGTTATGAGAGGGGTGATGAGTGAACGCGGGCGCGGCGCATTGGCTGTGGAAGATAAACATCTCTTCTTGAAACGCATGGAAGGAGGGCCCGCCGAGTGGGAGGGTAGCGGCGGGTCCCACCGAAAGCTGCATTGCATCGGCGGGCCAGCCCAACCGGCGAAGGCGGGGTTCCTAATCACATGAGATGGAGGGCCCGCCGAGCTGGGCGCGGGTGACTAGTGCACAGCGGGGAGAGGAGCGGTATGGCAGTGGAGAGCCAGTGGGCGGCGCGGTGCTGAGTGAACGCTCTTGCGGCGAGGGCACTATGTACCATCACTGCCTCGAGGCCAGCGAGGTCGCGGGCCTCGCACGAATTGCCACGAGGCCAGACTGATGCCCATCATTGTAGTACGTTCCTGCGAGTTAACCTTATCCGATTGGAACACGCGCTTATGACTTCTACTTCACTCGTGCAAGTATGACGAATGCGCTGTACCACGATGGTCCTGCTAATGAGTTTGCCAAGGTTGTGAGCATAGTGGTGAGAATATTTATAAGCGGTTCGTCCTCCTGATATTCTAGCTTCCACCCCCTCAAACTTCAACCCCAGGGGGGACTTTCTCAAAAGTTTCATTTCGCACATGCAAAATCACATCGCCAGAAGATGTTCTTGTCAGAATGAGAACTACAGCGGAATGAGCTGTGTTGACAGAATTGGGGTACATCACCTAACCCTAACTAGTTGTACCCCATATAGCCCAACCCAGGCTATAATATTTGACACATCCCCATAGCCTAAGTGGGGAAGACCAATCAACAACAAGCAACCTACGGTCACAAGACCAGTCAAAAACAAGAGAAAGAAAACAAAGCTCAGGGTGGATCACAACGTCACCACCTAATCTGAGCACTAGCAAAGGGCCACAAGGCCAGTCCAAAAGTGTGCAAACAAATATATACATACATATATATATATATATATAAGGTACAAGCAAGCAACAGACAAAGAGCACCATACAGCAGTCAACTAGACCCAGTCTCAACGAGGCCTAACTGCAGACAAAACCGACGGTGGTTACAAGGCTGGAGGGCCTTGGTGAAGATGTCTGGAGTGTTGGCCTCGGAGGCCACAAAGTCCAGACGAGCCTGTCCGCGTCTCTGCAACTCTCGAAGGAGGAAGTACCTGACGTCGATGTGCTTCACTCGGCTCTCCAGTCGAGGCCCACGACACAGGAGAATCATCGCCCCGTTGTCAGCAAACAGGGTCGGTGCAGAGCTCGGCCGCTCACCAAGGTCAGTGAGCAAAAAGGTCAACCAGCGTAGCTCCTGAGCAGCAAGGGCCCCAGCGTAGATCTCGGCCTCTGCGGTAGAAGTCGCAACAGAGGAGGACCGAGTAGACCTCCACGAAACAGCTCCAGAACCCAGGCTGAAACAGTAACCCTGCGTAGACCTCTGAGTCTCAACGTCGTCAGCGTAGGAAGAGTCACAGTGACCGGTGAGTACAACTGGCTGTGTCCCTCCAAGTACAAGCCCCATAGTGGTAACCCTAGTGGTCGGGAAGGGCGGGCCTAGGACTAGGAGCGCTAACCTACTGCTGATACCATGTCAGAATGAGAACTACAGCGGAATGAGTTGTGTTGACAGAATTGGGGTACATCACCTAACCCTAACTAGTTGTACCCCATATAGCCCAACCCACTACAGGCTATAATATTTGACAGTTCTCTCGATACGTGCCTGTATATCTTGTCATGGCTCTGTATAGTAATAATGCCCTTGCTCGGAAAACCCGAAGGGGACACTCGGCAGCTCTTTGAACTTATCTGACACATGCCCACCCTGGCCTTCTTGATTTCCCAGAACTCTTTCCCCCCCTCTTCATCATCGCACCTCATCACACTGCAACACACACTTCTGCACCCATCGATGATTCTGTCAACACTCCGTCAAACATGCTCACAAATTCGTCTGAATGCGGGTCAATGAGGCATACTGTAGTACTTTGCAAGAACTCACCCTCGGAACTTGCCCTAACATGCTTGGCCTGTTCTGCTCCAGAATTCTCTGAGAGTCGACTGTGGATATTCTTCACCGACTAGTGGAGTCGGGATGATTTACCTCAACTGACGAAAGACGCTGCCCAATTTCGCGGTTCAGAAGGGACAACGGCCCCCCTCGGGATTGACAAGCTCGCGACGACCTCCGAGCTCCAACCCGGGCCCAAATGGCGTCCCAGGGGCCTCGGGAGCCCTCGGGAATGTTGACAATCCGACGACATAGGTTTGCGCTGAGAGATTCCTGAGAGTAAATCTCAGCGGAAAAAATAGGAGAGCTCGCCACGTCGAGCCGCGACTGCCGCCACGCGGACCAATAGGGGGGAGCCGGACCGTCCCCACCGTGTACTAGGCTGCCACGACGTGGCCGTTGTGGCCACGTGTCGCCCCAGCGGTGATTTTCCCAAAGCGGGAAAACGTTCACACCCTTGAAAACGGGCCAGCCCGATCCACGCGGCAAAAATCGGACCATCTAGGATGTAAAGGTTCTGTGGCATCGCCTGTTGCATCCGATGTCGGTGTCGACCAGTACATCCAGAGGCCCACAACCAAGCCACGCGGCACAATCCCAACGCTTCTATGTTCAATGAACCTAAGGAAACAACCAAGCGCGCCGAATGTAAGTCGGCGCCGATCTTTGGGCGCCCACGGTAGGACTGCCACGGTGGGATTCAAGAATTCCGGAACCCTCGGAGATTCGAGCCTGCATGCACTAATTTCTACTGAGAGGCCAATGTCGGCCCCAAGCCACGTAACACACGCCCATTCCACCGTGGAAAGGGCCTGGCTTACGGCCCTTCGGTGCAGCACGAAGTCACAATAGCCATGCTTGGCGCGTGGCACTTCGGGCAGTGCGCCGCCTATGCGAGAACACATGCACGGCGGCAGGAGCATAGGGGTGTGCGTGAATCGCGGCAGCGTCGGAGTCGCTCAGGACCATACCCGTCCGTGACCGTGCGGGCCTGCTCATTCCCATGTCCGTTCCTGCGTTTCTTCCTGCTCTCTCGTGCACTTAGAATTTTCAGCTGCCAGTAGGTTACTCGGTTACCGACTTGTTCAGTAGTCGTCGACGTCGACGTCAGTCGGCGACGCATGGCCAGAGGTCGCCCTAGAGCACAACTGCCGCAACCCATTCCACCCCCTGCCGACTCCCTGTAGACGACGACATCAAAGCGCAGTTGGAACGGCTCGAGGCCGAAGCCGAGTAAGACGCACTTGAGTGAGAATTCGCACGTTATCTAGAGGAAGACCGCCGCGCTACTCTTCGGTCGTACACCGCACCCGTGAATCAGTACCGTCTCTGGTTTACCGACCTCCGCATCGCAAACCGTCGACGCTAGAGCAACATACGTGCTGCCACATGGCCGACGTCGACATGGCTGACGCTAGACCATCCACCGACCACAGTCCGACATCTACCGAGGAAGAGACGCTACCCTTACTCTACGATCTTGACAATCTGACGCAGATTCCGGAAGGGGAGTTCACCAAGGACATTCCCCCACCGCCGGTCGGGGAGTTCAACAAGAAAAAGAAACAGAATCCGAAGCGAAATGGACGCCCAGGAACTTCGTCGGCATCGGCCGGCTCTGGAAACCAGGTTGAGGTCAAGGAGGAGGAGGATGGGGGGGAGGAGGAGGAAGAGGAAAGCGATGACGAATACGACGAGCGTCCGCCGCGTAGCACTAGTCAGCACACCTTGGAAGAACGGCTCAGGCGGGAACTTGAATACATAGATGATCTGCTCGAACAGGACGAGGATACCGACCAGGAGTACTTGTCGGTGCCGCGCGAACAGTGGAGGGCGGCAGACTTCGTCGAGGAAGACATGGTGTACGCGACCATCGACATGCTCGTCTTGGACGCCCTACGCCACCTGCAGACCGTGGAGAGGAACAGCACGCTGAGGCAGTACACCTCGTGGATCTACCACTACAAGAGGTGGGCGGCGAAGATGTTGATGCAAATTCGCAACAAGCTTCAGCAGGAATACAGGCTTAAGCGCGTCGACGAGATAGGGCACTACATCCGGGACAACAAGAAGAAGAACTGGGACCAAGAGGCCGATGTCCCCCGGTCGCACGTGTGGCTGCACGGCCCTAGGGTCACCCCGTCCCGGCTTCGCGCATACGTGAAGGACATGGTTCGGGAGATGAAGCTCGATGCCGAGTCCAGCAAGGAGGGCGACAACGCCACAGGAACACAGCCTGTGCAATCTACAACGGTGCACACGCTCCTCGGGCGCATAAAGGCATGCCAGATGGCGGCGAGAGTGGAGGCGACGATATACCGGGAGAAGGAGCTGAGCATCATGCGTGAGATATCGGTGGTCAGGTCGGAGGTGCGGTTCATGTTCCGCACCAAGAACGAGCGGGACCTCAAGAGAGTTTTTGTTTAACCTCTGTCGACCACTCTCTTGTTGTCATGTACTGTGTCGACGTCTCCCTAAATGCCCCTTACCCTCGGCATTGTCGGCAGGAACTGCACCGATCGGCGTCGCGGAACCATTGGCGATACCTACACCGCAGAACAGTTCTGCCAGATCATGTTCAGGGTGCTGCCGACGTGGGTGGCCAAGGCTTGGAACCCGCGGGCTACGGGCCCGTCGCAGACGCTGTAGCGGTTTCTGTTGTTGAAGATGCTCACGCTACTCTCCCACCATTCTCTCCTGCGCGGCGCAAGCATCCGCGAGATCACGCTCCCCGACATATTCTTGTACCGACTGGCGAGCACCTCGTCGGTGAACCCGGAGAACCAGCCGGTCGTCATGGTCATCGCTGCGCGGAACTCGAAGACGTCCAAGGATGCGCGTTTGCAGCAGAGCTACGCTGCGCGGCACCTCGAAGCGGAGTTGTGCGCCGTCGGCGAGACGGGCCTGTGGTTGCACTTCATCCTCGACCAGATCGGCCAGTTTCACGGCGTCCGCCTCATTCCGCCGGTGGACACCAGCACACGCGTGAGCTGGTACAAGAAGCACCTCTTCTTCGCCAGAAACGACACCAACCAAGGGGAGCTCTCTGCGGCAAGCCACCAACGCTGGACGAGGCAGTTGTGGGACAAAAACGGGGTCTTCTGCAAGAGGAACGTGCACGCCGCTCGAGCCGAAGGGGCCCAGGAGCTGGCCATCGACGGCACGCCGCGCGCCAAGATCGCGGAGCTGGGACACTGGGCGCTCGACAAGATGACGCGAGCGTACATCACCGCCATTCCGGTGGGGGTGGTGAGGAAAAAGGCCGGTTACTCTGGTTACAAGCAGGACTACTTCTTGGGCCGGAGCAGGGTGGAGCCCTCCGATGCTCTTGAAGCTCCTCGCCGAGCACATCTTCCCCGGCGTTGACGACATGCTGAAGACGGTATGTTAGTCGACGCCCTCGTATCCTTGTTTCCGAGTCGTGTTGCCGACAGCGTCTGAACTCCTAATACACGTGACGAATTGCAGGCGGAAGGGAAGGCTGCCGAGGGGTCCGACGCGGACAAAGCCGCGGTGCACTTCTGGCGCACACTCGCGATGTTGCGCCGCATCGTCGCCGAGGACCTAGCGGTGAAGCTGGTCCGCACACCATGGCACCCATACGTCCAAGGCTCCCTGCTCTGCCGGATCCCCCTCTTCCAGCACTGGGCGAAACGGGTCAAGAGGGTCGACACCGAGACGATCAACAAGCGTCGGGACCCGACCCAAATTCAGGCAGAGGTAAGTCGACGACGAGCTGGATGTAGGGCATTCCAAACCACCTCGCGGCTAACGTCTTTGTCCTACCGCTGCAGGAAATCTCTGTCCGCATGGACACCGACTACTACAACATATCCCTCAAGGCGACGCTGACGAAGGAGATGGAGCGTGCCGCGAACGAGAGGATTGACTTCCTGGAGGAGCTCGAGAAGCGCGACGACACCATTGCGTCTCTCACCGCCGAGATAACCCGTCTCACCGAGGCACTCCGTGTGTCAGAAGCACGGAGAGTGCCGGAGGCCCCGCCGTGCGCTACCGCGCAATCTCCCAGCGAGGGTGGCTTGGCGGATTCGACCAACATGGGAGCCGGCGCCGACGGAGGGGACGACAAACCCCCGCCACCCCCACAGACGGACGAGGAGGCTAGTTACGAGCTCAACGTGGTACAACCGTGGCGGGAGGCCAAGACCGTGAGGGACGCCTGGCGCCTCTGGAACTCCGCCACCGCTAATGACACCCGTCGGCTTTGCGACAGGATCGCCGAGCCGCGGTTCATCGACCGCCACACCCTCCTCGCCGGCGCGACGCAGGGTGCACTCAACAAGAGGGTGCGCCGCATGCTGAAGGTCATGGATGCGGTGCGCCAGCTATGCGCGAGCGACGGCGAAGCCGACACCGAGGCCTTGGTCGACACACTGCACAGGATCGCGGCATCGGGCATCGGGACCTTCGCCAATGCCCTCACGGTGCTCAAACCAGGAACGGCACCGATGTTGTCCAAAGAGGCTGGCATGGGAGTCAAGGGGCTGGGTCCCAAGGTGGTCTCGAAGCTGCGCCTCGCCTGTGCGCTTGTGGCGCTCAACCTGAAGCAGAGTGATTGGGTCGAAACCCTGTTTCCAGACACGTGGGAGGAGCAGATGCCGAAGACCAAGGCCGACCTGGCGAAGCCAATGGCACCGGCAAAGTCGACAGCACCGGCCAAATCGACCGCTCCGGTGCACCGTCCTCCGACCAAGAGGATGAAGTCGGCATGAGCGCGCTTGTAGGATATGCGTGTGCGTAGTTCGATGCTGTTAACTGTGGCAGACTTTAAACCCCCCTCCCCCCCCCCCCCCCCCTCTCTTTTTTCAAATGCTGTTCTGGTAGTTTGTAACAACCCACAGCAAGGCCTTTGCGAACCTACTTGATCCCGCCGTGTTAAATGTAGTCGGTCGCTCATTACTAATCAAAACACAGATACATGACGTCGTCTCGCAGGCTTGCATGTTGCTAGGCTATCGACATGTACCTAGTCATAGCTCGTCGCCGAGTAGCATGTTCTTCTTGATGTCGACAGATGCGCCGACATGGCTCATTGTTCAAAGACGGCTAGCAAGTTTCAATGTGAACAGTAGGGTTTAGGGTCATCACAAAGTGAAGCAAACATAAACGAAGAAGATTCGTGCCCTACGATTGTGGTCGACTACGTGCGCCGACTACGCATTGTGGTCGACATGGTTCATCGCCAAGGTCGTCAACGCCGACTGCACAACCAAAAATTCACTTACACTACCAGAGAGTCACAAGCACTCCCACAATGTCACATGCATACCAAAAAGTTACATGCACTCCCGTAGCTACAAAGCCTAAACCAGAATACAACCTAGCAATCAAATGCGCTCCCTCTGCGCGCCGACTACGCATCCGTGTTGTCCTTTACCTTCCTGCCCTTCTTCCCCTTCGTCTTCTTCGTGCTGTCCTTGCCCTGCTTGCCCCTCTGCCCCTTCTTTCCCCTCTCTTTAAAATCGTGCTCCATCTGTGCGTCACAAGGCACAGCGATACCGATCTCCTCGAGTTTCGGCCCAGCGACGGGGCACATTCCCCAAAAAGCCATGGTCTCCACCATCGCTCTAGCGACCACGACGGCTTCATGTTCTGCATCCATCCCCGGATAGAGCTTTTGCAGAGCGGCACTCTGCAGAGCCGGCGCGACGTTGTGCGCGACCTCCCTGAGGGGTTGCTCCCTCTCGATCTCGGCCTGAATCACCGCCTTCATGACTTTTTTGAAGACGTCTGCGGTCGTCTCGCTCGCACCGACCACCATCGCCGCCGCCATCCCCTCTCTCACAGCATCGTCCACGGAGGCGTCATCGTTCTCGACTAAGCACCACAAGGCGGAAGCCGATGCCGCCCATGCCTGTGCCACCAGCTCCATCTTCTCCACGACGCTCGCAGCGACCTTCCCATACGCCGCGCACATGGACACGCGACTAATCAGGGCCAACATCGCAGCATCCACCTTCTCTTGGCCTTCCTTCGTGTCGGCATCGACGGGGAACCAGATCGCCGGCAAGAGCGCGTCGTGGTGCGCATCGCCCGAGCTCTTGTACGCTTGATACTTGTCGAGGATGTCGTCGAACCTGTCACGCAAACACAAGAAACGGTTCTACCGTTAGGGACTACGACATCGACAACAGCACTCGACCTAAGGGACGCCGACTTACCGTGTTCGTGGAAGGTACGCGCCCCGTGCCCATATCACCGTCCACATCCCTGTCGGCAGGATCCTGACCTCCTCCCACACCCTCCTCCACTCCTCCATCTCGGCGTCCTTCAAGCCGGTGAGTTCGTCAATGAGAACCTTGCTGACGTAACCGTCGTAGACCATGAACGCGATCGAGTGCAGGTACGCCAGCTCCATCTTGACGCGTGACTTGCCGATGTACCGATTGTGATTGAGCACTTTAATCTCGCCCACCCACCCTAACCCGTCGCCCGTGCTGTCAAATTATAATATTGTGTAGGCTATAGTGGGGTAGCCCATATGGGGTACACATTTCTAGGGTTGCATATTTGTATCACTTCCATTCCTTAGTCATCTCATTCTCGTTCTACTTTTCTCATGGTATCGAGCAGGTTCCCCCTTGGGAACTGTGCCTAGGACCCACCACATCGAGTTTCAAAAAAAAAAAAAATGATCTCCTGCCCGAAGCGCGCTCCGCCCGAGTCGCGCTCCGGGCTCTCACCTCGCCGAGCCGCCCTCGCGGCCCCCTACGCCCTAGCGGCCCCTTCCCCTAGCGGCCCCGCCGCCCTTCGTTTCGGCCCCGCCGCCCTTTAGTGTGGCCCCGCCGCCCGTCTCCGCGGCCTCGCCGCCCGTCGCTGCGGCCCCACCCCCCTACTCCTCAGCAGCCCCGCCCCCCTACTCAGCGGCCCCGCCGCCCTTCTCCTCAGCGGCCCCGCCGCCCTACTCAGCGGCCCCGCTGCCCTACTCAGCGGCCCCGCCACCCTTCTCCTCAGCGGCCCCGCCGCCCTACTCAGCGGCCCCGCCGCCCTTCTCCTCAGCAGCCCCGCCGCCCTACTCAGCGGCCCCGCCGCCCTTTCCTCCGCGGCCCCGCCGCCCTGCTCAGCGGCCCCGCCGCCCTCCTCCTCAGCGGCCCCGCCGCCCTACTCAGCGGCCCCGCCGCCCTTCTCCTCAGCGGCCCCGCCGCCCTACTCAGCGGCCCCGCCGCCCTTCTCCTCACCGGCCCCGCCGCCCTTCTCCTCAGCGGCCCCGCCGCCCTACTCAGCGGCCCCGCCGCCCTTCTACTCAGCGGCCCCGCCGCCCTTCCGCAGCGGCCTCGCCGCCCTTCTCAGCGGCCCAGCCGCCCCTTGCACTAGCGGCCCTGCCGCCCTACACCGCCCGCGCCGCCCGAGCCGCCTGACCTGCCCGAGCTGCCCGAGCCGCCCGACTCTCCTGAGCCGCCCGAGCCGCCCGACCAGCCCGAGCCGCCCGAGCCGCCCGAGCCGCCCGAGCCACCCGAGCCGCCTGAGCCGCCCGAGCCGCCTAAGGAGCCGAGCCGCTGGTGCCACGGAGCCACAGCTCCTGCAGTGCCGTCTGAGCAGCCGTGTTGCCGTGCTGCTGTACCGCTGAGCTGCCCGACCCGCCCTGCCTGGTGAGAGCAGCGCTTTTGTCCCTGCACTGCCCCTGTCCTACAGTTGGTACTGCTAGTCCACTGTTGTCATGGCTACCCCCAGTGTTCTCGCTTTTAACGTTGAGGGTCGAGCCATTGACTTTGAGGTTTGGGTGGATGACCTGCAGCTTTTCCTACAGTGTGATAGGGCAGACGGTCTTTCCCTCTTTGAGCTCACCTCTGGTGCTTCCCCTGCCCCTGCTGCCAATGCTGACGCCACTGTTCGCTCCCAGTGGGCCACTCGCGATGCTGCTGCACGTCTTGCTGTGCGTCGCCACCTGCCTACAACTGAGCGCGCACACTTTAGCCAGTACAAGAGTGCTCAGACCTTGTACGACGCTGTCGTTGCACGCTACTCCTCTCCTGCCACTGCTGCACTGAGCCGCCTCATGCTACCTTACCTCTTTCCTGACCTTGCTGCCTTTCCCACAGTCGCTGACCTCATTACGCACCTCCGCACTAGTGACAATCGCTACCGCGGCGCGCTTCCTGCTGAGTTCTGCGCCAAGAACCCCCCCCCCCCCATGTACATCACTCTCTATTATATAGTCTGTCCCACCACTCTCACTGTTGACCTCCTAGAGAAGGCCCTCCTAGCGGCGGAGAATAGCATAGTCGCTGTAGGAGCCTCTCGTGGTGACCCTCGCACCCCCATCTTTGAGGGGTGTTCCCCTTCCCCCCTGTTGCCCTCTGTCGCCTCTGCTGCTGCGGCCGACCTCGTTGGTCTTGAGTCGGTCGGTGCGGCGTCTGCCCCTAGCGGGAGACGCCGCTCTGGCAAGGGCAAATGGGGCAAGGGCGCGGGTGGGGCTAGCGGGGGTGGTGGAGGTGGCGGTGGGGGCGGCGGGGGGAGTGGGGGTGGCGGTGGGAGTGGTGGCGGGGGTGGAGGTGGCGGTGGCAGCGGCGGAGGCGGAGGCGGCGGTGGCGGTAGCGGTGGGAGCGGAGGCGGCGGTGGCGGCGGAGGTGGAGGCAGCGGTGGTGGAGGAGGTGGAGCTGGTCGGGGTGGTGCTTCTCAGCGAAGCGACTCCGGGAGTGGTCAGCGCCAGCCGCAGCAGCAGCAGCGTTCTCGGGACATCCCCCCTCCTCAGCAGCTCCGTGAGTGGTACACGCAGCGTCAACGTGGTGGGGTTTTTGGCCCGTGCACCTACGTCCTTCGCTCCGGCGGCCGCGCGGGTGAGCAGTGTGGGGGTGCTCACCCCACCCAGCGCTGCTTTGGCCGCCTGACAGACGCTTGGCGTCAGCAGTTCCCGGAGGCTAGTGAGATCCCCCGCTGGGGAGAGTTGTCTAGGGCAGGCGTAGTTATCTTTGATCTTGACTTTGATGCTATCCTTGCTGCCATGTATGCTGTGACTATTAGTGATGAGGGTGTTTGTTACCGGTGTTTCCCGCCCGACCCGGGCATAGGTACTGCTGCTGTAGGTACTGGTGAGGCTGCTGCTCTAGGTGCCAGTGCGTCCGCGCCCTCAGGTGCTGGTGAGTCTGCGCTCTCAGGTACCACGTCGGCTTCGGCCTCCCTCACCTTCACACTTGACTCAGGGGCTTCTCGCTCCTTCTTTCGAGACCGCACCACACTCACGCCGCTTGGTCGGCCAGTTGCAGTCTCCCTGGCAGACCCCTCTGGGGGTCCTGTCCTCTCTCACTTCTCCACTGTCCTCCCGTGTCCGGCTGCCCCCTCTGGCACCTTGTCTGGTCTTAACCTCCCCTCGTTCTCACGAACTTGGTGAGTGGTGCTGACCTGCAGGATACGAGGGTTCACCAGTTCACTCCTGCGAGTCAGCGGGTGACCCACTGCACGCACGCTCGGACAGGCCGACACCTGGCCACGTTTACACGTCGGCCGGGGTCGAGCCTGTACACACTGACCACTGCGTCTCCTCCAGTCACTGCGTCTGGTCAGGTAGCTGCGTCGGGTCAGGTGTTTGCTGCAGCGTCCAGGTCTGGTCCTGAGTCTGCCCCCTGCTCGTGTCCCCTCCTGTCTCACGAGACTCTCCTCTGGCACCACCGTCTTGGTCACCCCTCCCTGCCTCGTCTCTGAGGCATGGCCTCCCGTGTCCTTGTCTCTGGTCTTCCCCGGTCCCTCCCTCCCCTTCCTCCGGGGCCTGGTCCTTCCTGTGTCCCCTGTGTCGAGGGGCGGCTCCGAGCTCCCCCTCACTCCTCTCAGTTTCCCCCGACAGAGGCCCCGCTGCAGACGCTTCACATGGACGTGTGGGGCCCGGCCCGCGTCCGTGGACAGGGTCACGAGCGCTACTTCCTGCTGGTGGTTGACGACTACTCGCGTTACACCACAGTCTTCCCCTTGCGCAGCAAGGGTGATGTCGCTGAGGTGTTGATCGACTGGATCCGCGCAGCTCGTCTTCAGCTCAGGAGGAGCTTCGGCTCGGACTTTCCCGTTCTGCGTCTGCACTCTGACCGAGGCGGAGAGTTCTCCTCTGGCCTTCTGCGAGCCTACTGTCGTGCGCGAGGCATCCGCCAGACCTTTACGCTTCCGGACTCTCCACAGCAAAATGGGATTGCTGAGCGCCGCATTGGCATGGTCATGGACGTCGCTCGTACGTCCATGATGCATGCGGCTGCCCCCCATTTTCTGTGGCCGTTTGCGGTTCGGTACGCGGCGCATCAGATCAACCTTCACCCCAGGGTCTCCATGCCGGAGACCTCCCCAGCCTTGCTGTGGACGGGGAGGGTTGGCGATGCGTCTGCGTTCCGTGTCTGGGGATCTCGGGCGTTTGTCCGCGACCTGTCTGCGGACAAGCTCTCCCCTTGTGCTGCTCCCTGTGTCTTCCTTGGTTTCCCCCCTGATCCCCCTGGGTGGCTGTTCTACCACCCCACCTCTCGTCATGTTCTGTCCTCCCAGGACGTCACGTTCGACGAGTCAGTACCCTACTACCGCCTCTTCCCCTACCGCACTCCTTCCCTCCCCCCGCCACTGCACTTCCTTGTGCCAGGTCCCCCCCTGGTAGACCCCCTCCCCCCTCTGGGTCCTGCCCCTTAAGGTGTGTCCCAGGTAGATGAAGTCGAGCCGGTCGAGGTTGCTGGTGACTCTGGTACTGCTGCGGGTGCTGAGCCTGGGGGTGCTGACTCTGGGGGTGCTGCGCGCGTGGGTGCTGAGCCTGGGGGTGCTGAGTCTGGAGGTGCTGCTACTAGGGGTGCTGAGCCTGGGGGTGCTGAACCTGGGGGTGCTACGATTGGGGGTGCTGAGCTTGGGGGTCCTTCACCTGGGGGTGCTGCGTCTGGTGCTGCTGAGCCTGGGGGTGCTGAGTCTGGAGCTACTGCGCCTGGGGGTGCGGAGCCCGCGGCCGCTGGACCTACTCGTCTGGCGTCTGGCGGTGCTGGGCCTGGTGGTTCTCCGGGTGCTTCGTCTCGGCGGGAGCCACTCTCTCCACAGGAGCTGCGCGAGTGGTTTGCCCGGTGCTGGAGGCGTACTACTGGAGCTGGTGATTCTTCGGCTGCAGAGGGTGCTGGTGCCGCCGGTCTCGATGTGCTAGTCCTACGAGTGCTACTAGAGTCGGAGCTGCTGAGGGTCTTGGCGCTGAGGCTACTGCTGTCAGTCCTGGCGGTGGTCCTGCTGCGCGTGCTGCTGGTGCTGCTGGAGGTACTAGAGTTGGACGTGCTGTTGACGCTGGTGCTGCCGCTGGTGGTGCTGGTGCTGTCCCTGCTGTGTCTGGTGTCGCCGCGCGGCCTCGGCCGTACTTTGTTCCGCTCCTTCAGCAGGTTCTTGGTC